GGGGGCCGTGGGGGAATGAGGAGGAGTGCTTCCCGCCCCTCCGCACCCGCCAGGATTGAGTGGGTTAGCTTTCCTTGATCCTTAGGTAAGGCAGCTCAGGCGTGGCCGTGTTTTTCAATCCCAGCGTTTTAAAATAGAAAGGCTTTGAGGACGGGGAGTTGTGCTTCCCGACAGTTTACCTCTTGCTCCATCTTGGGTTCTTTCTGTCAGCTCCTCTGTGCGGATGTCTCCGTGGAAACTGCGTTGCATTCAGTGTTGAAAATATTCTCTGTAAAACCAGTAAATGGGAAATCGTGAGGGAATGCTTTTTGTCTAAAAGGCAGCCAGTGAAGGTTCGCCTCTTTAACGAAGAATGGAAAGAGCCTGTGGATTTCGCTCTCAAAGCTTTGAAGCGCTTGCAGTTTGCACCGATTAAAGGAACAATTTTAAGACCCTGGCACTTGGGATTTTTCCAGGACATTGTATTCTTGCAGAGGACCTCAGAAGTGCAGCAGTAGTGTTGTATTCTATTTTCAGGCTGCTGCTCATGGCACTTATTGGTGGGATACCTTTTCGGTTTCAGAGGAGCTGCTAGAATCTCAACACACAATCTGATATTTTGTCATGAATAAAAAATATTTGGGGTAGTAAGGAAACTCCTGGAAAGCAAACATGTTGCTTAAATATTCTTTCTTAAAAATAGCTTGTGTTTTCTTTATCTATTTTTTTTTTTTTTCAGATGTAAGCATCTCTGCATCATCATCTCTACCAAGCAAAGAGAATATTTCCTTATTGGGGAATAGGAAGCTTTTTTTTGACACTCATGCACTGGTGCGCCTCTTGGAAGAGAATGGTAATTTGCCAGAAATGGGTAGCTATTTTTAAGGTCATTTTGTGAGTGGTTTTTTAGTTTACAAAGTTTGTTACTTCTTGACATGTGATGTTACATTTTATGTATACTGGGTGAGAACATGTAAGGTTTTTTTCTCCTTCCATAAGGAAACAGTGAGCTTATATAACTTTGATTGGAATAATTTATTATCCTATTGATAATTAAAAATGATAAAGAGAAATTAAAATTTAAGAATTGAGAGTAAAAAAAATAGGTATGTCTTCCTTCTAGTAGTGGCAAACTATTATATCAGCTCAGCTATTGAAAGAGACTCGTTGTCAGACCCCATATGTGCTTTCTGTAGCTTAACTGCTAGGTAGTTTGAAACAATTGTGCTTTTGCCAGTGTTTCTTTTAACAATTATTGAATCTTGTTTATGGCTTTTTTACTCCTACATTTTGGAAGTGGAAAGTTGAGAGTATTTCTACGGACAATTTTTTACAATAGCTCCCAATATATTCAGTTTAAAAGGTTTCTAGTAGGGACTGAGAGGCCTAAAATCAGAGCCGTTAGTGGTGTTCTGAATTTTAAAATCTTGCACGTTCTCAGAGGTACTGAAGATTTGTAGTATACTGAAAGTAATGATCTGCTTTTCAGGGTCAGAATTCTTTCTCATAGAAATAAACGCACATGAGAGATGACATTCCATAATACTTCTAGAAAATTCCCGGTGTTTATTCTGCTGGTGTTGTAATAGTACTACAGAAGCAGCTATCCTATGTTACTGGTTGTGTTCTTTTGTTAGTGCTGGATCAAGAGGAGTATGATTTATTATCTTTCATAACTGACATTCATTTTAACTTGGTGCTGAGTATTAGCAAGTGACACTTCTGTAAACTGTCCAGATGTACATCTCTCTCTGAATGTTGTTACATTTTGTTTTGCTTAGGGTTCACTACTCAGCAGTCGGAGGTCATTGTATCTGCATTAATGAAAATTATGAACGCCAACCTGGATATGATTTACAAGGACATGGTCACCAAAGTACAGCAGGTTGGCTCAAAGACAGTGGTGGGGTTGAAGTAAATCAAAACCTAGTATGCCTGCTAATGAAATAGATGTTGCTATTTCTTCATGTTAGACACTGTATTTTAAAAGTTTGAAGGACAAACATCCCTGTGTATCTGTCGGCTAGTGAATTTTGTCTTGAGTTCATCAAATACTTACCAAAGTGTTGTGGTGGACCTTGAGGTTTAGGTACTGTGAGTTGTTATGGAAACCACAGGTAGTTTTTTGGTTTCAACCTTATTGTAGCATGAAATAGAATTGCTGAGAGGGCTTTTAGAGATACATAGGATGTCTGGATGTCATGGATTTGAATAGTAACAGCTCCTGTTATAGTCTTTTGTAGACTTGTAACAGGGAAGTACAGATTCCCTCAGTGATTTACCATCCTTGTTATGTGGTGCTTTTTTATTTATATCTTTGTGTCACAAAGACATTTGTATGGTATTAGAATTGAGCTGAATTTCTTTTTTATATGATGTTTTTAGGGCATGAATGGTGTAACATACAGCCTAACTTGCTTATTCTGTCACTTAATTTATCTGGCTTTCTGAAACTCAGATAAACAATTTGAAACTGCGTAAATAAAAAGTTCGGGGTACCAAAGTAGCCTATCATATTTGTAGGCACAGATGAGAAAAAGCATTATAGTTATGATATGTTCCGAGGTTTTTCTTGCCTCTTTTAAAGGAAATTGCACTTCAGCAAGTAATGTCCCATATTGGTGGTGTGAAAAAGGACATGATTATTTTGGAAAAAAGTGAATTTTCAGCACTTCGCTCAGAAAATGAGGTAAAAAAATCTCTGTCTTGGATTCTAGCACTTATTTTTTATAATGATGTAAAATAGGGTCATGTACCCAGGGGGTTTGCTCTGGGGCCAGGATGGTTTAACACCTTAATTAATGACCTTGTTGATGGGCCAGAGTGCACCCTCAGCAAGTCTGCAGATGAAACAAAACTGGGAGCAGTGGCTGATACACCAGAGGGTCGTGCTGCTATTCAGTGGGACATCAACAAGCTGGGGAAGTGGGATGACAGAAATCTGATTAAGTTTAACAAATGGAAATGACAAATCCTGCCCCATGCAGCAGGACAGGCTGGGACTGAGCAGCTGGAAAGGAGCTTTGCAGAAGAGGTCCTGAGGGTCCTGGTGGACACCAAGTTGACCATGAGCCCTTGTGGCAAAGGCAGCCAACAGCCTCCTGGGCTGTACTGGGAGGGCTGCCAGTGGGTCAAGGAGGGGTGATCCCTCTGCCTGGAACTGGTGAGACTTCATCTGGAGCACTGGGTCCAGTTCTGGGCTCCCCAGTGCAAGGGAGATGTGGACGTGCTGGACAGAGTCCAACAAACGGCCAGAAAGATCAGTAAGGGACTGGAGCATCTGACATACGAGGAGAGACTGTGAGAGCTGGGACTGTTTAGCTGGAGAAGAGAAGGCTCAAAGGGGATCTCATCAATGTATACAAATGTTTGAAGGGAGGTTATGAAGAAGACAAAAGCAGGCTCTTTCTGGTGTTGTCCAGTGACAGAACAATAGGTAACTGGCACAGAACAAAATGTAGGAGATTCTGTTCAAACATAAGAAAACCTTCTTTACTGTAAGGGTGGTAGGACATGGGAATAGGATACCCAGAGAGGCTGTGGAGTCCCTGTCCTGGAGATATTCAAGACTGTAATGGCCATGAGCAACCTGCTCTAGTTGCTCCTGCTTTGAGCAGAGGATTGGCGTGGATGATCTCCAGAGAGAGTTAATAGAAGATGCTACATCTGTACCTATTTCATACATCTTTTGAAGAGACAAAATAATTCGGGTTAGAAAGGACCTGTAGAGAACATTAGGTAGTTGCAGGCTGCAGTATGATTGCCATTTAGCCATTTCTTCTTCAAGCTGAACAAACCCATCTTGCTCTCCTCCTCACCCCCCACCCCCAGCATACTGTGCTCCAGCCCCGCATCATCTTCATGGCCCTCCACTGGACTTGCTCCAGTGTGTCACCATCTGTCTTTTACCAGGGACCCTAAAGCTGGACACAGCTCTTCCAATGCCAGCTCAGAAGTGCTAAACATGGGTAAATAATCACTTCCCTTGGCTTGCTGGGTGATTCTTGCTCATACGATCGTGTGCATTTGGCCACCTTTACTGCTGTGGGACAGTGCTAGCTTCTGTCCTGCTGTTGTTTGGAAATGCACAGCGCTGAGTAAACGTACATGTGTGTAAACACGCGTAGATCTATACACATCCTGAGGATATAGAGTTAACCTATGCTCGTTTTGCCTTCCTTTTCATATAATGTATTATAATCATTGTTATTGATGGTGCAAATTCATTAGTATTTCTAGATTATGCATTTTTATATACAGTAATAAAGTGTACAATTTTTTTCTACTCTCACAGAAAATAAAACTTGAACTCCAGCAGATAAAGAAGCAAGTCATGGTAAGCTACCATACCAGTATAACTAAGGATTAACACCTGTCTAGTTTGCTTTAAATGAAAAAACACTTGTTGTTTTTAAGGTTTTATTTCTAAAGCTGTGCTTAATTGTTGTGATATGGGGGATACTTGAAATTGCAGTTAATGGTACACTGTGGGCTGCAGCAAAAACAATTTCATGCATGGTTCATTTATGGTGACAGAGAACTGTGCATGGTACAAGAGGTGATGAAAATCTTAAGATTTTTTTACCTACATGTCCTTAATTTAGATTCAGGAAACGGCTAACTGCTGTGTCATGGTTAAGGCTGAGCAAAGCTCTGCATTTAGGGCTGCCTGTTACGTGTAAAGATGCAACGTCACCACAAGAAAGACACTGAGGTGCTGGAGCATGTCCAAAGAGTAACGAAGCTGGTGAAGTGTCTAGAGAACAAGTCTTATGAGGAGCGGCTGAGGGAACTGGGGTTCTGTAGCCTGGAGAAAAGGAGGTTTGGGGAGACCACGTCACTCTGTACAGCTACCTGAAGGGAGGCTGTAGCAAGGTGGGTGTTGGTCTCTTTTTTCCAAGTAACAAGTGATAGGATGAGAGGAAAGAGCCTCAAGTTGCAGCAGGGGAGGTTTAGATTTGATATTAGAACAAAGTTCTTCACTGAAAGGTTTGTCAAGCATTGGAACAAGCCGCCCAGGGAAGTGGTTGAGTTACCATCCCTGGAGGTGTTTAAAAGACTGCAGTCATGTAGTTGTGGTGCTTAGGGACATGGTTTAGGGCTGGACTTCGCAGCATTAGGTTTGTGGTTGGACTCAATGACCTTAAAGGTCTTTTCCAACCTAAATGATTCCATTATTCTATGAACGTATCTGTAAATTTACAGCACCTAATTGCTTTTGGGTTTTTTGTTGGTATTTTGGTTTTGTTTGTTGTGTGGGGGTTTTTGGTTGTTGGTTTTGTGTTGGGGTTTTGTTTTTGGTTTTGGTTTTTTTTGTCTTTGTCTGAAGACATATCTGTTTGCTGTCCAGAGTTTAAAATAGCTTTTAAATGTCTTCTTTAGGCCACTAAGTTTGGGACCATTATGTTTAGTCCCATTATTTGGGGAGCAAATGAGCTTTGCAAGAAAACAGACTCTCTGGAGAAAATTTACTCTGTTAATTATCATACAGATTCTTATTCTTATCTGGTTTAAGTATCAGTGCTGTGTTTCTGTTCTTTATGGTTTGCCTGTCTTGAATAGCATTCCAAACACCCTTCTACCATCAAAACCAAGATCATCTCAACATCTATGATTTCAGTTGGTGTGGAGTCCTAAGCAGCCTTTACAGAGAAACAAACATTCTGGCCAGAGTGATTAAGATTGGAAACTGGGAAACATTACCTGCTTTTAGGGAGTATGGTCATCTGACCTGAACTGCTCTTTCCTGCTGTGATGTCCTTCTTAGCCGGAAGGAAGAAGCACCCTTCCTTCCCTAGCATTTGTCCATGAAACTGTCAGAATATTAGACTTGTAGAGCTAGCTGACAATGTGGTCGAGCTCTGCCTAGTACCTCCTTGCCATTTCTTTCCTGTTCTCTTCAATTTATTTTTGCACTGTCATCTCCAAAAGGAAAACATAAATTTCTTAAGCGTAATCCTCCATGTTTTATACCGTGTTACAAAGTGCTTAATGCATCTGGGTTTTCAGAATACCATTTTAAAATACATTCGGCATCTAATTTTTGAATTGTAACTTATGGTTTTAGTTGCATATAAATGGGTTAGTGTAATCCATGGGTAGAGCATCAAGGATCTGAGTCATCTTTTCTTAAAAACTAGATGTCTTTAAATTCTACTTTTAACAGTAAATGTAATTCTCACAAGGGCAAGTTATTTTATGTTTGTTAATCCTTGCTCCTCCAACAGACAGAAAGGTTGTAGAAGTGCAAGAAAAATGTATTTATTTTCTGCTTATTGTTTATTGCTTCATTAATCTGTAATGTTTTGTGTTGTAATGACATCTAATTACAAACCAGTTACAGTTCAATAATTCAGACATAGAAATTGAGTCTAATTATTGTTCATACTAACTGAATAAACTCTTGACTAGTTGACACTGGCCTACTTGAGAGATGCTTGCTTGTTTTTAGATTGCTGATGTTCTGAGAGATTCTGCTGTCTCTTGCTTCTCCCACACATTCACGTGACCAGCAGTTTACCTCATGACAAACTGTCAGCTGGCTGGAATTCCTGCCAGGAGTTTGCATTAAAACGGCAGCTGTCGCTGAGAAAAGCAGGAATCACAGCTATTGATGCAGTACAATGCTAGTGTACAACTTATGGTGGTTTTAAAAAAGGTAGATGTTTAAAAATATAAATGTTTCGAAAATGCCTGAAGCTTTTTGTAAAAGCCCTAGATGGAGTCTTTAGAAACAGATTTTCATTCACAGTTAGAAATACCTTTTAAGGTGATTTTGAGCATCAAGATTCCTTCATGGCGGAAGTCCAACTTATATGTGGCCCTAGGCATGGAGTTGTAAAAATCAGAGCTATGGGATATATGAAACATTCCCAGCATTTATAGAAGGATGTGTTCTCAATTAACTGCTGTTCTCAGTGTTCTGGTTGTAAAAGCAATTGTTAGTTTTGGATTCTGAGATCCAATTCATATTATAGAACATGAGTATTTCCCAGGGGAAGGGTAGAAATACTTCTGAAAACTGTGTACATTAATTGGAGAGAAGCTTCATTCCTGAGAGATATATATAAAGAAAGGCACAATATATTTGCCATTTTTCTTCTGCTTATGATTAAATAGAAAATCTTGCTTGCTGATTTATCATTTTTTTCCCATTAGGATGAAATTACTAAAGTTCGTGCAGATAACAAGTTAAATCTAAACCTAGAGAAGAGCAGAGTAAAAGAATTGGTAAGTTTTGCTTACTTTCTTCTAGAAGCATATAAAGACAGAGTAATCTCCAAATTCGGGTAAGAGGATCTTACCCAAAGAGCATTTTCATATTAATTTATAGTATCATTCAGCTTTGAGATGGTATTAATCCAAGTTACTCATCCTTACACTGCTATGGTACAAGGTGCCGTGTTTGGTTTTGTATGTCTGTCTATTTTTACATTGTTTTAATATCAGGATTAACACATTACACTTCTCTTAAGAAAGTTGACCAACTTTGAGTCTGTTGTGCAACTATAATTTCAGAGTTTCAGTGAAAATTGCATTTTTCTTCCCCC